AAGAACAGCAAAAATAAAACTACCATTTACTAGAGTCCTAGTATGTTTCAAGCATTCTACTAGGACATTACATGTTACCATATTTAATGCTCAGAAAACCTCTATGGCATACATAATGGAGATAGAAAAAAAAGAGTTCAGGAGGTGAAATAATTTTATAGGTAACAAGGGTATATTTCTATCCATGTTGCTCTGGATTAACTGACATTGATACCCACAATCTTTCCACTCTGCTCTATGCCTATCCTCACTTAATGAGCAAACTGTGTAATGTTCCAAATTAAGGCAAACTGAAAGCACAATTGAAGTGCAAATCATTTTTATTAAGAATAAAAACTCTCATGTTACTATGACCTGAATGGCATCCCTTTCTCCTTTGTTATTTAATGAATAGTAAGATTAAGACTGATATTTTTCCATAAACACTGCAGAACATTTTATATTAGTACAAGTACATGAAAGAAAAAAAAAAGGATAATACTTTTTTACATTCCACTGAAGCATGGAATTATTTTATGCACAATCAAGGAGGTAAAAGACAGTGATTGTCATTAATAGTATCTTGTATTGGCTGAACCTTCTTCAGAAGCATTTAATGTGACAAAGAATTTCCTTGAGAGAAATTCACACCTTTAAATTCCCTCACCACCTGAATTCTGAGCAACAGCTAGCATGTACCTATTTATTGAATTTCAATGTAATTTCATTATTAAAACAGTTAATTCAATCACTTCAAGACCTTTTAAAAATACATCTCTATGACAAAAATTGATAGAGATTGAATGTATTCTCTATTTTCTGCTTTACTCCTGTTAAGTCAATCACATTTTGTTCCATGCACTGATAGTCTTAATTTAGAATTGCAGATGAACAGAATTAGCCATAATTATTATTGAAACAATTCCATATTCTAGAATATTAAGAAGGAAATAAGTAGCTTATCAGAAAAACTAATTATTCACCTCCCAATAATAAAAATGTGCTTTACCTCCGTGTTTAAATGTTTTCAATTATTCTCATAAAGACAATTTGAAAGTTACCTCTCAAATGACCCTGACAAAAGAGCTGTGGTCCATGTACACGATGGAATACTACTCCACCGTAAAAAAGAAAGGGAGAGAACTTTACCCTTTGCAACAGCATAGACGGACCTACAGAGCATGATGCTAAGTGAAATAAGCCAGTCAGAGAAAGACAAGTATCATATGGTTTCATTCATATGTGGAATTTAATTAACAAATCTAGCTCATCCTTCAAAATCCAGATCAACATTAGCTTTTCTTTTAAAGCCTCCACAGCCCCCTTTATCAACTACACAACCTCTCTGCTCTCATAAGGTTTTATTATAAGTACTAGAGGCCCAGTGCATGAAATTCGTGCTTTGGGTGGGTGGGGGTGTCCCTTTGCCCAGCCTGCACCCTCTCCAATCTGGGATCCCTCTCACAATCTAGGACTGCTGACTCTCAACTGCTCACCTGCCTGCCTTCCTGATTGCCCCTAACCACTTCTGCCTGCCAGCCTGATCACTCCCTAACCACTGCCATGCCAGCCTGATTGATGTCTAACTACTCCCTTGCCAGCCTGTTTGCCCCCAACTTCCCTCCTCTGCTGGCCTGTGAACCCCTAACTGCCCTCACCTGCAGGCTTGATTACCCACAACTGTCCTCCCTTGCAGGCCTGGTCTCTCCCAACAGCCCTCCCCTGCTGGCCATCTTGTGATGGCCATCTTGTGTCCACATGTGGACAGCCATTTTGTGTGTTGGAATGATGGTCAATCTGCATATTACTCTTTTATTAGATAGGAGAGAGGCCTGGTACAAAGGTGGGGGCCAGCCAGTTTGCCCTGAAGGGTGTCCGGGATTAGGGTGAGGTTCCCTTGGGGTTTGGGGCAGCCTGTGCAAGGGGCCTGAGGAGGCCAGCCATGCTGCCCCCTGCCCCCTCAGCAACCCAAGGTATCTGGGATTTATTTATCTTCTACAATTGAAACTTTGTAGCCAAGCCTTCTGCTCGCTCCGTGGTGGCAGCCATTTCTGTTGAGATTTATTTATCTTCTATAATTGAAACTTTGTAGCCTTAAGTGGCAGCCTGGGCCAGCAGGGTGTGCAGAAAGCTTGGCTTCCTCCATCACAGGGGAAACCCAAGTCTCTCTCCTGCTCTCTCTGTGGTGGCAGCCATCTTCGTTGGGTTAATTCACATACTCACTCCTGACTGGCTCGTGGATGTGGCTTGTGGGTATAGCAGAGTGGTGGTTAATTTGAATATTATTCTTTTATTAGATAGGATAGTATGCCATGTTGTAATTGTTGTATATGTACAGTATTATTCAATTGTGAGTTTCTTGAAAGTAGGGATGACAAAGCCTAGACAGCTTCTACTGCAACAGTAACTTCATAAAAGTCACACAGTGAGTCATCAATAATTCTTTGTTGTGGGTTGACAATAAAACTTTCATTTAATATACAATTTACATTAAATTTTCATATAATATGTAGTATATATGTGTCATAAACTTCATGTACTATGCTCATATATATATATATATATACTATATCTATGCATGTCAATATACTAAGTATGAATATATGCATGTTTATGGTGTATGTACATGTACATACATTTGAAGCACTTTCAGGCTGACAAGGCCCTTGGGTATTATCTTTTCTAATTAATGAATATTACAAGATAGGAAACCAAGGACCAAATTACTTTGGCACTAAATGACTTTGCCAATGTTCTATAGCTTGTTTTTGTAAACACAGTGTTAGAGTTCCTGTCCCAGTTTCTCATCCTATGTACTTTTCACTGTATCACTTCAAAAATCTCACCAAGAATGTGACCCCCCCCCCCCTCCCTATAATATGCTATACCAAGACCAACCTTTCCCCAATGGAATGTATATCCTGGACTGTCTCACCTCATTTTCTCCCCCAATTCTCTTCCTGGGTCTTCATTTTCATCAAATGAGAAACACTCATGATTCTGTCACCTCAGTGCTTTCATTTACAATGTATCCCTCACCTTTAAATATTCCCTAGTTGCTCTGCTAACTACTCTCAATTCCTTTATAGATATGGTAATGTCTCTTTTCCCTCTCAAAAATAAGAAAGAGGTCATTATTTTGCTCTCCAGTTTAATTCAGCATTTTTTTTTTTTTTACCAAACCAAGAATCACCAATAAAAAGATGTCTTTATCATTCTCTTCATACCAGCTTATTTATGTCTGAACATGAACATAACTTTGGAGTTTACAGATTACTTCTCATAACTCACTCATTTGCTCGTCATAACACTATGAATAGTCAGAGAAGGTATCATCATATTTACATGCAGCTGAAAACACCAAGGGTCAAAAGTATACTGCCAACGTTCCTACAGCTAGCAAGAGCAGAAACTGGTGCTGGAGCCAAGGTCTCCATATCCTTGCTCCTGACAGCTTTCCACTATTTTAAACTGTTTATTGGCTTGGGTTGCCACCATGACATTTATGTTGACATATATTGGCACCTCAGTTCCTGCACTCAAATGTTGCCTGGACTCTTCCTCCATCTGAATAACTACTTGGCTCTTGTTATTTTAATAGCACACATTTCAACCAGCCAAGTACGATTTTGAGCATCCCAATAATACTATTGAATGGAAATTATAGTTTGGTTATTGTTTGTTATGACTGAGCTTTTGAAAAGTAAAGCCATGACTTTAGCTAAATTAGAGATCTTCAACCATTGGTTTTAAATTGACATTAATTAGTCTGATTTTATCTACATCCACTCATCAACTGATCTGTAAACTGCAAGCATTAAGGAGAATGGCTAACACTCATCCAAATGGCTTTTATAAAAACGTGTGTGTTTGTGTGTGTGTTTCATGCACAATTGTAAGGCAAATTGTGTACATTAGCTTTAAGTCCATTTCTGTCCAAACCCACTAAGTTGTTGGATATCTCAAACTTCTTTACGAATTTGGTATAACTATAGAACAGACTGATCTGTGTAGCAGAGGGCTACAGACGGCTGAAGTAACTTGTTTGCAATCCCAGGATGAAAACATACATACCCCCCTCCTCTCTACAGCATCCTTCGCTTAATATTTAGGTATCATTGGCCAACATGGATCCATGGCCTTAAGCGGTAAGCACAATGGTTCTCACTTCACTCTGATAAGCATCGCAAGTTTGAAGTCTGCTACAGAATTCTCAGTGTCCTCTGGAGGAGGGAGGAGCCGCTGGAGAGGGGGTAGTCTTCCCTCACTCTATTGTTTTCCTGCCCGTCACTGCCCTGCCAGGACCTCTAGTCAGCACTCTGCCAGGAGGTTCAGAGGGACAATTCATTCCTTGCTGCTTTTGTGGGTTGAAAACAAGGCAAGAGAATCCCCCAGACAGAAAAAAGTTTAAATATCCTAACAATTGTGCCCTTTAACATTCGCTGGTGACGGACTGAGCTGCCCCTGGTCTCTGGGAGCTCCCGGGAGCAACGTCTGCGGGTCAACTGTCAGAATTGCCCTTGTCTGGCCCGTTTCCACGTGTCCCTCAGATCACAAAAGCTATACTTGGCACATTCGATCCTACAAGCGTCCGCATCACGGCACTGAGCAAAGAGTTTGCCTCAAGACAGCACAGAGACTGGGGCTACCCTGTGTGCGGGCTCTCTGCTAGACACGGATTTGAGAAAGTCACATCAGAATGAGAATCCAGAGGTGAACAACACTGCACTTCATCTCCAAAGTGCAGCGCCGGTTGCCCTTCCTAACTGCGGAGCTGCCAGAGAGAGAGAGAGAGCTCATTCCAGCGGCTCACGGATGCCTCTGAGTTGTTAGGTTTCTCTTTCCCAATAGCCTGGGACATGACCCAATTCCCTTCCTACGCATCACACTTTTCTCTTTAGGAGCCCAGCACGGCCGGCCGGACCCTCGTGGACGAGCACCGGGTCCCTCCTGAAGCCCGCAGTGTGGGAATGCGGAGCCAGGCGTGAAGAGGGGGAGAAGGGGCGCTCGGTCCCACTTACCAGTCTTCCACAGATAGAGGGTGGGCGCGTCCGCCTCGCCCGGCGCCGCAGCCCCAGCCCCAGCCCCGCGGGCGCCCGGGCACCGCAGCAGCAGCAGCAGCGGCGGGAGCAGCGGGAGCAGCTGCCGGACGCCCCGGCCCCCGCCCCGGCCCGCGGCTCCCGGGCTCCGGGGCGCAGAGCGCCTTGTTCGCAGCCCCATGCCGCCTGCAGCCGCTCCAGGGTCCGGATCCCGTGAACACGGGCGGCAGGGGATTTTTTTCTGCGCCCTCCGAGCGTCTTCCCGAAGGAGTGCAGAAAACAGAGCTGTGCCCTGCTATTGTTCCTTTCCCGAGGAAAAGCAGGGAAAGCTCTTTTAACACCGGGGAACAATAGCGTCCGCGGTGGCCCTGGCTGCCGCCACCGCCGCCGGCGGGGATGCTGCTGCGGCTGCCATTCCGCGCTCAGTGGCAAGTCCTAGTGGCGAGGCAGCGAGCGGGCAGCCAGCCGTCTGCAGGGGGCCCGGCTGGCGGAGCAGGTCCTCCAGTCCCGGAGCTGCGCAGCGCCCGCCGCCAGCTGGAGGGGGGGGGGGGGGGGAGAGGGGGATGGAGGGGTGGGGGGTGGAGGGGACGTGAGCCCGAAGAGGGAGAGGGGGCTGGAGGCGGGGGGGTGGGGGGCGAGAGCCAGAGGGCGAGCAAGGAAGAGAGCGAGCGGGACCGAGAGGGGGGCGACCAGCTGCGACACGCCCGCCCAAAGAACTCCCATGCACATGGTGCGATGGAACATGTTTGGGAGGCTGCACCAATGAAAAGAATCATCATCCGCCAGGCTCCCTCGTGACAAATAGCAGGCACTGAGATTCCCCCTCGAGTCCAATGCTAGGTGGAGTGGCATGTTCTTCTCAGGGTCTATGTGTACACAAAGCATCATCCGCGTTTGCCATTTATTGTAACCGCTATCTTCTGAGTCATTTTTTGAGGGAGCAGTACTCAGGATCAGATGTGGTGGTGGTGGTGGTGGTGGTGGGGAACACAGTAAAACATCTGAAGGTGTTTACTGGCTGCTGAAATGTGCTTAACCACTTTTTAAAATGCTTTTTTTTAAAAAACAATTTGTTCTCAATAACATTGTAATATTGATCACCTCCGACACATCAAAGTACATTGTGTTTTAATAAGATTTAAAAAAAATAGAATTAGTATGCAGTAAGTATTCACAATGCTATCTAGTTATATAGTTTTACAAAAAGTAATCAAAAATAATATTTCAGATAAGGAGTCAATAAAAGTGCTAGTCCTTTATCTACTTCTTTTTGTTCAAAATAGGCTTACTTTACACTTGCGAATAAAATTAAAGGGAAACTAAGTTTCTTTCTTTCTTTCTTTCTTTCTTTCTTTCTTTCTTTTCTTTCTTTTTCTTTTTTTTTCTTTTTTTTTTTTATAGCTCCAAATCAGTAAATTCTTTACTTAAAAATCCCTGGCTCTAATTTTTCTGAACTCTTAGCGTAGAAAAATATAATCTAAAATACCTCATGGGTTTGGGTCTTTTGTTCTTTGTGTGTTCACTTTCTTAAACTAGTAGTAACGGAGGGATGTGTGTGAAATCTGATAATGCTTGCCCTTTCTCTTTCTCCCCCTCCCTCCCAATTATGACCTTTTATTAACTGATTTCCTAGTAAAGCTAAAATAATAGCAAAGCATTTAGCCCATTAAAAACTCTGCAAACAGAAAGCTATTCGCATCGGATCAACATCAATGTTTGGCCAAATAAAATAAAATTTAAAAAGCAGGAAAAATACTTTTATGAATGTACTCCATCTGCAGAGCCAACCCAAGAGTTTACATTGTGGAAGCTACTGTTTCTGAAAAAGGAAACCTTCCATAAAGCTCTCCTGGGACGCCTGTCATTTTGCAGATCATTCCAGACACAGCCCTTCTGCGTGCATTAGATTGAGAGCAGGTTTGATCAAATAATCTCCAGATCCTGCCTGTTTAAGTATTCTGACATCAGAGGAAATTAGCAAAGTTGAAGGTTGCAAATTCCTTCTTTGTTTATTTTCCACTCTGTTAGGCCTGTAAGAGGGAATTAAAAGCTCAGAGAGCCCCAGCTATGTGAGTCTGTGATTAGGAGAGATAAGCTAGTGTGGATTACTATTTCTTCACTGGCGAGAAACAGGCAACAATCAAAAGATTATGGGTTGATCTTAACTAACGTGTGGCTCCCTGAAGGAGTACACCAACCCAGAAACAGTTACTACACCAAAGAAAAATAGGACTTGCTTGGCTCTGTCCTCTTTGGGAAAACTGCTGTGCCACTAATGGCAGTGTTTTCCTATCCTGCTTATTTTTATTTCTCAGCTAGCAAGGGCCCTAAACCCTAAAATCCAGTAACTGCCACAGGGAGGATTTCATACCACAAGTACTCTGTTAATATCATCCCGTGCTAAGCATTCTTGGTAAGTCCAAATCAATTCACCAAGTAGAAACTCATTAATAAGAACGGAAGACAGAGAACTAAGGAGTCTAGTTAGTACAATTTAACATACAGGGTAATTACTTAGCCATTTGAAAAGTCATCAGAAGCCATACCTAATAGCTTAATGTCAAAAGAAAATTTAAGATTCTAGTCCTTATTTTTACCCAGGGTTGTATAATAATGGCTCAACTGGGGAAAAGGTTTAAACGTGATAGCAACAATTTCAAGATTCTATTTAAGAGCCAGGGGCCACTTCTGAATCAAAATTTGCTGCCATTTAAAAATACACAACCAGAGTGAATATTCTGCAATACTGTTTGAAAAATAGCCAACAACTGGTTTCCTTCTTCTAATTCCAATTTACTCAAGGCTTACGGATCACACACAAACATGCAATACACAATCAGTCAGCGGGAAAGACATCTCTGGACAAGGTTACAGAAACTAAGTCATATAAACATCTGTCTCCACCACTGCCACATATCTGTTCCATAACAATGTCATTATTGCACTTGAGGACAGAAATGTATGGGTCTCTGAGGAGACACAAGCGATATATATATTCAGATGCATGCTCCTTTGTGAAAGCTGTAGTGTCCAGCTGGGTAAATCCTATCAATAAAACTGATAGTCGGCAAAAGAGAGCGAGACATCGCATTCTTTGTTTTCTAGAGTATGATATAAATAACGTACAAATGCTTAATGACATGATGTCAAAATTTAGTCATGAGAAGTCTCAAGGATGCAGATTAAATTGACCATCTGTACAGCCTGCCATGAAGTAAATCGTTCATCATTTTTCATGAAGAACTGTTCACGTATTAATGAGCCAGGGCTATAAAAGTTTTCCAAACCAATGGATGAAAAATGCAAAGCATATTTTTTAATGCTTAGAAGTGAGACAATTCTGAACCTATCACCTCTCATGTGGTATCCTTTCATCTGTCTTTATTATTTTTCTATCATTTCCAAACTCCAGAGAGTGGGGGAGGGTAGGAACATATCTATGTATGTATTTTTTATTAGGGATCAGGAACATATAAACATATTTCGTAACTTGTAAGACATGGATATTGACTTTCAATGATTGGTACCAACATTTAAAATCAATCATCAAAAATTCAATTACTTGACAGGGAAAGAGCTTTTGATATCATCAGTTTTTATGAATAAAAACAATAACTAAGTGAAGAAATATAGTTATTCATAGATAGAGTGTTATATAGGGTAGTGTCGAACAATGTCCATTTTGAAACAAACATTTTAAATATTTTTCCCTACATAAATGCATCTTGCCCTATTTAAGGAATTCTGTTTGTGTGGCCTCTAGGTGTCATACTTGACCAAGATTTAGGGTAGACAAAATTTATTTTGGGCTTCTTTCTATTCCCCACTTCTTGCCACACCCACCAAATTATTAAAAGATAAAATATTTAACTTTTTTGCTTTGTAATAAGTAGCCATAGATTTTCTTTTCTCTCCCAAATGTGACTAAAAGTCACCTTCTATATTCCTCTTAATTTATTTTACTTTTTAATGACTTTTGTTTGTTAGTTAGTTGGATGGTTGAATGGTTTGCTGGTTTGTAGGGATGTGTAGTGAAGGGAGAGTAGATGCTAAATTTCAGATAGTTTCACAAAATTAAACCTGCTTGGAAACAATAAGCATCTACTATAAATAGTGGGACCCCTTGTTTTGAATATCAGGTAAAAATGTAGAATACTTTGATTCAGATACCTCTAAGGCTGGAGGAATGATCACTCACCGTTAACCTTACAATGAGGATCCCATAATATATGGCACTGAGACTTTAGTAGCCCCCAGTACAAGGTAACACCAGAATGTTAAAAAAAAAAAAAAAAAAAAAAAAAAAAAAAAAAAAAAAAAAAAAAAGGTCACCAGTGGTGACCTGGGAGACTGCTTCTGTAGGAAACACCCTGGCAGAAGGGATTAACCAAGGAACATGTATACGAAACCCATGGACACAAGCAGCAAAGTGGTGATGGCCAGAGGGAAGGGGGATTAGGTGGAAGAGGGTAACGGGGATGAAATGGGTCATCTGCAATAGTGTAAACAATGAAAATAAAGTATAAAGGCATAAAGTATATAAGCGTAACAGAATTCACTAGTATAATCACCAGTTGTGTTGATGTCCTACTGATGTATAATGAGAAGGCACAGGCCTTTAACAAACAATTGAAAAGCCCAGGAGTCCTTGAAAAGAGATTCTTGCCCCCTGCATTAACAGAGTGAAAAGGACACATATGCTGTAGCCGGTTTTGCTCAGTAGATAGAGCGTCCGCCTGTGAAATTAAGAGTCCTATATTTGATTCCAGTCAAAGGGACTGTATCTCAGTTGCAAGCTCAATTCCCAGCTGTGGTTGGGGCACAAGCAGGAGGCAACCAACTATGTGTCTCTCTCACGTTGATATTTCTCTTTTTGTGTCTCTCACCCTCCCTTCCATTCTCTCTTAAAAAAAAAAAAAAAAAAAAAAAAAGGTGGGCACATCTTCTTCCTTGCTGAGCCTTCCCCATCTCCTCTCCTAGTTTGCAGGCTGATAGCTAGAACTCAGCCTACTATATGATGGATCTTAACAAACTACATGGCAAAGATGCTTCAAGAATTAGCTAAGTTAAGCATACACAGAAATCTAACGATGTTTTCCATGTAGTTAGTGATGAGTTTGAAAGTCATAGGATACCATGATTTCTCTATCCATTTTATTTTGTCCAAATTAGAAATGGCTT